CTGAAAATCTGTACCTAATATAGCTGCAGTTAAATCCTTCTTGTTCCAAATGATAAGCTTTATTTGAATAAGCTGAACATAGGCACCATTTGAAGTGCATACCCCACACATGTAAAGGATTTTAAAAACTGAGATCAGGGAGCAATGTTTCCTTAAACTCACTATAAAATAATTCCTTTTTGTGTTTGACTGCAACCATGAATATTTGATCACGGTTTTTCATTTATACGGAAATGCTTCTTTGGTAGTAGTGTGGTGTAGCTCGCTTGCTCCTCCCGTTCAGTGGACTCTAATCCTATGTTTGTGACGTCCCAGTAACTTCCATGGTAACAGTCAAGAACACCATATTGTGGCATGTCTGAATCATGCAGAAGGAATTTGATGAAAGGGGGAGGCTTTCTATTTAAACATATCTTGAAAATTGTAGTGCTGGGAAAAAAACCTATAAAAACATTGTGGTATTTCAGGTTTTCAAGGCATTCTTTCAGTAATAAGCCAGAATAAGGTGGCTCAGAGCCCCTTTGCTGGCATTTGAACATCAGTTTTCTTTCTTTGAAATCCTGCTAAAAGGCAAATTCTTAAAAAGTGGGTAATTTTGTAGGTGTATGTATTAGCTTCTAATTATACAGTGCAATTTGTATTTTTTCTCTAACTGAAGAATTGACTCTCAGAGTTATTAGCACTGCAAAAGGATGAAAGGGAAATCTTAGCACAGTGGAAAATGCAGTGACAGTGTATGCTTTTGTGCCATCTTCTAGGAAGAAAAAAAGGAGTTACAAGGACAGCATTTATGGGAAACCTATATGCATTACACCCTTTGTACTATTGCTTTTCCTCGGTATACTGAAGCTTCCCAGCCACTGGTGGCTGCTTCTTTAAAGATACCGTAGTATTTTATTTTGGTAGAACTGGGATGCATCTATTTGCTTCCAATGTGAAATGTACGTGCAGCTCCCAGGAGGTTTTTTCCGTCTTTGTTCATGCTGGAATCTTTTACTTGCAGGGTGTTTTCTGCTTACATTAAGGAAGTGGATGAAAAACCAGCCAGTACACCATGGGGCTCGAAAATGCCTTTTGGGCAGCTGATGTCAGAATTTGGGGGTGCTGGAAGTGGCGGATGGGTGCACAGTGTCAGTTTTTCTGCCAGCGGTAACCGCCTAGCCTGGGTCAGTCATGACAGTACTGTGTCAGTTGCTGATGCCTCAAAAAATATGATGTAAGTATGCTCTTTCTGTTAGTTCTTAGCTTTTTGACAGAGAAGGAAGCAGTATGTGGAATATTGTGCTTGCAACAATGAGAGCTGTGACTGCTGTTTCCAGTTCTGATGATTTTACCGTAGATTCCAGGAGTCTTTGAGGTCTATACAAATAAGGTAGATTCTTAGAATTTTAGATTATATCATTTAAATTTCTTATAAGAATTCTTCAGTGAGGGTATAGTCAATTTACTTTGGGGTGGGGAAGAAGGCATTTGAAAAAAAAAGAAAAAAAGTTCCACTCTAGTGATTGGGGAAACAATATTTCCTTGTAAATGAATTCAAGAGAATCCAGAAACGTGCTCACTCTGTAACTACTAAGACCCTATGTTCAACGAGGATTTGTAAAAGAAGTTGTTCGTTTAATGAAATGTTAATTCCAACCACTATCCTCAAGACACTGCTGCTGCAAGGTTTCAACTTACACCTTCCAATCCAACAAAATATTTTATTAACAGTTCCTCCTTCTGCTCCTCATTTTGATCTGAAACTTTTCTTTGTCCATGGCTTTCTAGCCAAGGAGGAAGAGATTCCCCATATGTTTTGATACAGAGATCTCTGGTGGATCATCCAGGCATTGCTGTGCTTCATTTTGAATTATGGTTCTTATGGCTACAGCTGTATAAGTACCTGGCTGGGGATATCATTAAGTATCAAGTGTTCTAATATTCATTTCTTATTTATTATAAAATCACAAAAGTTGACTTAATTTAACATACAGGCTTTTTCCTCCTGAAAAAAATGATGTCAAGCACTAAAACTTCAAGTGTTTCTTATATGCAAATGAAATTAATAGCTTCATCAATTTAATACCCCTTTTCTGGGGGTATTCTTTTTAAACGCTTGCCACTGCTTACACACAATACTGGATAATTTCAGCCTTTCACCTGGAATACTTCATGTTTGTTATAGATCTTCCAGGACGCTCTCATTAGGTTAAAACTTTTTATTCCAAATTAAAACCTTCTGGTATCACCTCAGGACAACTGAGCTACACTGACTTCTTTTCCAATAATCCTTGTGTGGGATCGGTCTCTATTTTTTGTTGGAGCCAAAGATGAGAGGTTTCAATTAAGTCCTCTAACAAATGTTCTTGTGTTCAGGGTTTCGCAGCTGAAAACAGAGTTCCTCCCACTCCTGAGTGTGTCGTTTGTCTCTGAGAACAGTGTGGTGGCAGCTGTAAGTGTCTATTATTTTCTCCTTGTAGAGTGTTGTAGTGTTTTGGAGAGGGAAAACCAGCATACATTACAAAGTTAATGATAAGCAAGCTCTTCATAGTGTCAGTCTTTACATTTCTGCAGTTAACAGCGACAGAAAAACAAAACGGTGATTACGTTGCTTATGTTTCCTGACATGTTTTCATGATGTTTGGTTGCAGGGCCATGACTGCTGCCCGATGCTTTTTAACTGTGATGACCGTGGCTTGCTGACCTTCGTTTCCAAACTAGACATTCCAAAACAGAGCATCCAACGCAATATTTCTGCTATGGAACGCTTCCGAAACATGGATAAAAGAGCCACTACAGAAGATCGTAACACTACCCTGGAGACACTGCACCAAAACAGTATAACGTGAGTGTCTTGACTGCCAATATGAGGGGAAGGAACATTCTCCTCGTCACTTGAGTTTCCCAGGGTGTACTGCAAACCTGTGAGAGCTCAGATTTGCTAGATCAGATGGGTTTAGCTGGTATCTCATTTTCATTTTAGTCTGTCACTAACAGCTGTCTTAATTCTGGGACTTACTTGGAAGCTGGTAAAGCTAATCATTAACATGGCATGCGTGCTACTGCTGTTTGCTCATGTCTAATGTGTTCTGTAATTTGAACACAGTTTATCTTATCAAATATGTAGATGGTTCACAAGACTGTGCAAAATCTAGTCAGCAAACTTCACCTGAAACAGGAATTCACATACCAGCTTCCTATTTCAGATGTTATTTCCATGTGTATTTAATCATCAAAAGGATTGATTCAGATTAATCAAGTAAAATATCCTTGCATGTAAAAAAGTATATGAGCGCAGAGGATGATAACATTTCTGAAGCAATTTGTCTTTATTCAAGGAAAATGTTTAGGCTACAGTCACCAAGCGATAAAAGAGCTTTCAACATCCTTTTTCTTTGCTTATTTTTCTGAAGCATTGTACCAAAAATCTAGCATAAGCTCTGCTATACTCATGTCTCCCTTTGAGAGAGTAGGAGTTGAATTCAGCCCAAATTCCCCAGCTTTTTGGCTCTCTGGAATGGGTGTCTGTGTTACAGCTATCACTCTGTTTTCAGCCAAGTGTCTATTTATGAGATAGACAAACGAGATTGTCGTAAATTCTGCACCACCGGCATTGATGGAGCAATGACCATCTGGGATTTCAAGGTATGCTTTTACTACCATGTTTATGTGAGCTGGGTGCGGTGGTGGGGTTTTTTGATCTCTAGCATCAACTTCTGGGGCTCAGCCCTAACACAGGTTTCACTAGCAGTAGGAAATCCAGACTGCAATATTCAAGACTATTGGTGAACTCCGTAAGGAAGACAGATCCAAGATTCAGCGTAAATGCAGATATACTTTGTTTAGCAGATGGTGCTAATCCAGACTTAGTTTTTTAATGGAATCGCTTGATATCCCTGTAGGGATGAATCCCACTAATTTTTTCCTTCTCTGACTTCTACCTCAGCCACAATCAGGCTGGAATGATCATTGGTGTGACATGGCCCACTGCCTCTTCTTGCTCCCATCCCCTTGGACTCTGCTCACTGTCTTTCTGCAGAACATGGCCCTGCCTTCTCATAATTAACTTCCCAAAGTAGTAAGAACTTACCCCAAACAGAAAATAGAGTAAGCACTGTATTGCAAACCCTGAAAGGATGTAATAATGCAAGCGCTTGCTTTGCTGGGGACTGGCCAACAGAGGTCTCTGCTGGCCTCCCCAGGCTGCTGAGAGCTGTGCACTGCCTTTTAGGAAAAGACTAGTTTGTGTTCTGTAATGCCAGAAAGCTCTGGTGGGGACAGGAGCCAAATAAAAAAATCCAGGTGATATATAAGTTGTTTTAATGCAATTTCAGGGGAAGGGGTGGAATCATTGGTCTAGATATGCATGAAATGACGTGGCCAGAGTGGTCTCTGACCCTTGAATGAGAGTCTGATCTCAAGTTTTCAGGATGGTTTACTCATTTTTCTTAGCATCAGCATTTACACGGAGGTATTTAACACAGGATGCTGTAGCATATTGTGATTAAGATTCTCTCTCTTTCAAGACCTTAGAGTCTTCTATTCAAGGTCTACGAATCATGTAAAGATGGATTTCCATCATCTAGCAGGACAAACTGCTTGACAGAATGCAGCTCCCACATCTGCACAAACCCCAAAAGGGAGGAGGAAGGTGGAATATTTGGAAACACTGAGAAAATACAGCTTGGCAGATTTTCTTTTGAATCTAAATTTGGTGAATTGTGTTGGTTTGAAAATCAGCTGTGATTGTTCTTTTTTATTTTTTTTTTGGTTGGTTGTTTCATTCCATTCTTTACCAAAGCTGCTCCTTAAGTAGTTTATTGCAGGAAGTTATGAATCACTAACTTAAAAGGGGAATTTTATGTAAATTGTCTGCTAGAAATAATAATAATAAAAACAAAGAAAAACTGAGTCTTTGTTTTGATGCTCATTAGCAGGGATTAGAAAAGGGATGTTAAGGGAATTCACTCTGAGAGAGTGGGAAAACCCAGTCCTGGTATTTTATGGCTTTAAAACAGGAAAAGTTCATCTTAACAGAAGGTTTCTTAAAGTTAGTAGATGAAGACCTGGACTTCTGATGATCTCAATGTGAAGATTCAGCTGGGCTTCCTTCAGGGGAATTGTCCCTTTGAGGCGATGATTTTAGAGGGTGAATGATTTTGTCCTACTACTCTTAATTCCGTCAGCCTAGTATTTAATCCAGTAATAGCAGCAAATTAACATGAATGTCTCTTATTGTCTGTTTAGTGGCTCATAGTTTTGCAAAGGTGAATGACCAGAATTATTTGTAGTTACCTTTTAGGATTCATACAAAGGCTTCTCAGAGCGCAGTACCTAGGATACGGGGTGAAAGGCTGCGTGCGGAAAGTGAGGCAAAAATCTGCTGAGCCAGATTTGAGGAGGACAAATGAAAAGCAAATCACTTTCTGAGTGCATGAGGCTACCCAGGCCTGCGTGTTGTGTTAGAGCCGAGTGCTCAGCCTATAAAATTCTGTGTTTATGACGACTGGTGGAGAAATGAAGCACAGTTATGAGAGCTACCAGCGGGGTCTGGCTTCTGTGCAGATCTTTTTTCTCCAGACGACTGTACCTTTGGAAGTTCAGTTCTGAGCCTCGGTAACTCGCGGAGGCATTTGCACGTAACTTCCTTTATTCATGTGGTCTAGTTACTCTTAACTGTATTGCTGCCTTGAGGCCAAGGCAGGCTGTGCTCTGGAGGGGGTTATCTGGCTCGCAGCATTGCTTTACAAGGTTTAAGACTGTCATTTCTGTTGAAAATGCAGAAGTTGCCTTTAAAAAAACCCCAATGACTAAATTTACCACTTCCTCTGGAACCAGGGTTGCTTCATACACAGCTCATTTCTAGCTCTGAGTGACTGAAAAGGGAGGGTGGAGGATAAGCTCACAAAGCTGACAACTGCTGCTGTTCTGCTGCAAGTGAACTGTGTCCATCGCTGAGCTGGGTCATTTTCAGGTGCGACGTTGGTTGTGTGCAGAGACTGAACTGGTTTTCCAGTTCCTTCAGGTTTTCTTGTGTCTCCCACCTTCCTCCCCTGGTGGCAGTCAAGTGTGGCTTTGCAATTTCCTCTCCCTTCTAAACATAAAATAATGCCTGTTTAACTGGAATTCTTGCAGTCTAGTGACCTGATGTGTACCATGACTTGTGGTGGGGTCGGGTTTATTAGCTGGAATACAATGCTGAAGGAGTTAAGTGTCTTCTGGATTGAAGTGACCCCGCCAGCTTTGGCGGATGGGCAGGGGAGCATGGGTTTGGCTTTGTCCACCTCCATACTGTTATTTGCATGTATCTAACAGACAGTAATGATTTTGTTTCTGGAGTCACTTTGGAAAGTGTGGTGGTTTATTTCCAAAAAGAATTTAAAAAAAAAAAAAAAAAAAAGGATTATAAAATACACGGTCCAAGGATGGGAAAAAAAATCATCTAATGAGAGAGCGGAGAAAATGGATTTCTAAATGTTTATGCTGCCTTTTTCTGTGTGAAAAAGCTGGAGAAAGTAAAATGAGCCCATCTGCTCCAAAAAGCCAACAAACTGAGGTTTGAGGAAACTGCTGTAGGTCACTGTCCTGAGAGAAATACGTACGCTGAAAAATCTGAGATTAAAACCAGATTGGAGATATTTATAATAGAAAAGGACTGAACAAGGGCGATATAAACAACCATCGCTCAAGGCATAATTCAATTTCAGCCGGCCCCGGGTGCGGGGGGAGCCCTGCGCCTCGGTCACCACCCGGCAGCGGGGGCCCGTGTGTCCAGCGTGGGTGACAATTCACGAGTGTGTTTAGAGCCGGGCTCCCAGCACGTGCCCTGGGGAGCGATGCTTGCGCTGAAGCTCATGGCTGCAGCCTGAATGACGGGACCCCTTGGCTGGCTGTGCTCGATGGTACCGGCTCACGGGATGTTGGGGGGGGGGGGGCGAGAAATGGGGCTCTGAGCAAGCAGGGGTGCTGGGGGCTGTTCCCTGGATCCTGCCTGAAAAACTCCCCAGGCTCTAAAGGGAAAGAAGCTGCAGGATCACTGCCGCTTCGCATCCCCTCTGCCCCACCTCCGAGGAAAAGCCCCGCAAAAAACCGTCCCGGTGTCCCGTGGGATAGTTCCTGAGCCTTGCGAGACGTGCTGGCATAGATGCGGGAGGATCTTTCCGCTTCAGAAAACGGCAGCAAAAGCAGGTGAAAGGATTTAGCCAAACCTTGCCTTGGATCTGGCAAGAGACCAGAAGCGCTGCGGCAACGCGACGGGCGCTGCGGAGCCGCTCTGCAGGCAGCGCTGGGGCGACGCTCTCCTCTCCCGACCCTTAAGGACAGACCCCGAGTCCTGCTGCAGAATTTAAACTGACCTGTCCTTCGTCCACATCCCCGCCTGGGAGGGATCTGCTGCGGAGGGATGGTCTGTCCCGCGTTCCTCCTGTCCCACACGGATGAGAGCTGCGCGTCTTGGTGCAGGAGGCGGTTGGGGGGGGGACACCTGGAAAGCCTGAGCCCCCCTGGTGAAGAGCGGAGGCAGAGAATCTCGTAGCCAAAGGAGAACTAGAGAAAATAGGCAGGCAGCAGGAAAAACTTCAAAAAAAAAAAAAAAAAAAACAACCCTGCAGCTTTCAGCTGTGTGGTGAGCTGATGTCCCTTTGGCTGCATTTGAGGGTGAGGCCGGACGCTGCAACGGCAAAATCTCGCTGCTCCCGAGTGGGCCTTTTCCCACCGTGGGGATTCACTCCTGACCGAAGTCACAGAGACTCGCCACCCTCGGGGGACACCTTGGGATCTCTGCGTGGCTGCTGGGATCACGGCAACGCCTGTGAAGGGAAGCGTGGCTGATGCACTTGAGGACCGAGGGAGCCGTGAGCCAACCCCCCCCCCCCCCCCCCCACGCCACCCTGCAGAGCCTCGATCCACAGCTGACCCCTCACGCGGGGATTTTTGCTGCGGCTCAACAAATACAAGCTTATTATACCCACATCCTGCAGCTGAGAAGTCCCCTCGGGGCTCTGTCCTCCCTGATGAGCTGCTGTCCAGCTTCCGTGGGGGAGGGCAGGGGTGAGTGCCTTCCTCCACGCGTGACTCTGCAGCCACCTTGCAGCAGGGGAGCGAGAAGCTGAAGCCCAGCTTTCCTTCCCGGTGCTTCCAGGGGGAGTTGAGCTGATTGGAGTTACCCAGCCTGGCTGGGAACGGGATGAAAATTAGTTGCTCTGAAGCAGGAGGGGGAAAAAAAAAAAAAAAAAAAAAAAATCCCAAAACCAGAGGGTAGGTGGGAGTACACACCCACAGCAGCCTGCTTGGACTTTTGGCCCCAGTGGGCTGCAGGAACTGTTCAGGGCGGCTGGATCCAGGGTCCTGCTGAGCTGTGGATCCCCCCCCCCCAGCCGTGGGAGGCGATGCCCCTGCGTGTCTCGCCCTGGGTGGGCTCCGAGCGCAGCTGCTGCCTGTTGCGGGGCCCCCCTGCTGCACCCACCCACCCACCCAAACCCAACCCCCCCCCCCCCAAACACAGCGGGGACCGGAGGGGCGAGCGGAGCGCAACCCTCCTGCTGCCGGAGGGAGAGGAGAGGAGCAGGGATCCTTCCTCTCCGCTCCCCCCAGCTCCATCCTTCCCCGGGGGGGCGAGTTGCCCACGTCCCACCGAGCAGCGGGGGCTGCCGGGAGCATCCCGGGGCCGGTGGCCCGTCCACGCGTGGCGATGGCGGAGAGGCCTGGCTCGACGGGCGAGGCAGGGGCAGGGCGGCCGCCGAGCTGCTTTGCGCTCCCCCAACGCCCACGTAAGGAAGTGGTTGCATTTCTCAGAGAGGAAAAGGGAAGTCGGGCTGCCTCGGCGGGGCAGCCAGCAGCTCCCGCCGCTCGCTCGGGGCTGCGGTTCGTGTCGACTGCCCAGAGTCCATGAACTAACCCCGGCCTGCGCTGCCCGGCAAGGTAAGGAGCGTGGGAGGCAGCTCCGCCACCCCAGCGAGGAGCTGGATCTGTCCCGAGGTGGGGGGGCTGCGGCCATCACCTCTTCCCCCTGCTCACACCCAGCTGGAGGGGAGGTGGGGACCCCCTGGCCGGGGCTGCTTTGGGGTCCGAGGGGGGTGCAGGCAGCGCTTTGCCGCTCGTTGGTTTTCTTCTCGCTGCATTTCAGGCTTTCCCTCCCCCCCCCCACTCTCTCCTCCCACCCCCTTCAAGATTTGGCAGCAAGTTTGAGTTTTATTCTCTTGCCGGAGGCCTGGCAGCTCTGGGGTGCTGGAAAGGGTCCCCCGGGGGGGGGGTGTTGGTGTTGGCAGAGCCAGAGCTGTCTGTAATCTGCCTGCCTCTCCTCCTCGGGCATCAACTGCCTCGGGCTTTGCCCGGTGCGAGGAAGAGGAGGGTCAGAGCTGCCCTCCGTCTGCACTGGGGCAGCAACATGTGTCCTGTCCCCCCCAGGGCCAGGCTGGCTCCTGGGGTACCCCACACCCACACTGGGGGACCAAGGATGGGGGTCCCCCAACCTGGCTGGCAGGAGCAGAGGGGGCTGACACCCTGCAGCTGCCCTGGGGAGCAGAGGGGGTGCCGGGGGCTCGATGGTGCAGGGGGACCAGGCCACCACGGTGGTGGCCGGGGACAACTTCATGGGGGGTCCCACACGGCTCCCGGTGGGACCGTCACCGCGTCCCGGCAGCAGCGGCTGCAAACCCTCGTCCTGCTGCCCCACCAAACTCAGCAAAAACGAAAATACAGCTCCTCTGGCACGTGGCTTCCTCCCCGGGACCGGGAGGAGCCCCCAGCGCTCGGCTCCTGCCAAGGTTTGGTTATCTCCTCCAAGGATGTTTCCGAACCGCTCGGGGCTGGCGGGGGAGATAACAGAGCTGCCCAATCCCACCCTGTCCGGCCTTCTGAAAATGCCCATTTCCCTCCCTCGAGACCCTCTGTGTTGAGCAGGCGGGTGGCCACGGCCCCTTTGATGCTCTTCGGTGCTGGGCAAGGGTCTGTCGAGCTGCCCATGGGTCACCCCATGTTTCATCCTCAGGGTGGGAGCACAGCTCAGCCCCTGGGGCATCAGCAGGGAACTGGCCATAAACCAGCTGCTGGGGGAAACGGAACATAAACCGCTGCAGGGAGCAACCGGAGCCCCAACGGCCGAGCAGCCCGTGGGGGACTGCTTCCGCTCCCCGGCACGGTGGCCAAGCGGCAGCGGTTTTGTGCCCTCCCGTGGGCCACCCCGTGCTGAACCCCGGCAGGATCGGTGCGGCTGGGGCTGGGCAGCCTCCTGCTCAGCCATACCCGTGTCCCTGGCCCGTGGGATCGGGTGTTTCGGCAGGGGCTCGGCCGTGGGGTGCGTGACAGCAGGGTTTGTGCCGTGCATCGGCGTTGGGATTTCTTTGCGTGCAAAAGGCAGGTGATGGAGCTCCACAGATTTTTTTTCTCTTCACCAGCCCAGAGGCAGAGGTTTGCTAGGAGGGACTTTTTTTCCTTCCCCCTGTACCGTTTTTAGCTGCCAAAGAAAACGGGCAGTGTTCAGGGAGTTCCCAAAATAGCTGAGAGGCAAACTGTGAGTAATCCCAGTCTGTCACGCCCTGGCGAGGTGTTTCCCTATATCCGTGCGTTCTCTCGGTCGGATGGCTGAGGGGCTGCACCGCTGCTCCGAGCCCTTCCTGGTCCCACGGCACCCGGAGGGGGTTTGTCCCCTGGCACCGGAGCGGCCGGTGGGCACTGGTGGGAGAATTGGGAGCTCAGCCAGGGAAAGGGATTAGTCACTGGCTCACTGGGGATGGGAGTACACCCATGGGGCTTTGGCTCTTCCTAAATGAGAGGTGGGGAAGGAGCAAATGGATCCAGCCCCGTGGGGCTGGTGGGAGCCACCGAAGGGAGGGGATGCTGCCCCACAGATGCATGTGAGGCTGGTGGTGCTGGCACCCGGGTCCCTGTCTGTCTGTCCAGCTCCTGCCCACCGAATTCCAGCCAGCCAGGGCAGGATGGAGGTACGGTTTGGAAGTCCCTGGAAGCGGTCCCTGCTTCCCACCTGGCCATGGGACACCCATGTGGCCCCTTGCTATGGGGTGCCTGGCCACGGGGCACCCACCTGTGGGCATCTTGGCCATGGGCACTCAACTGGCACCCAGCCACGGGACACTGGGCGTAGGGTGCCCAGCTGTGGGGCAGCACCGTGGGGAACGTCTCCTCCAGCTCCGTCTGGGCTCTCCCTCACCCCCCTGCCCCCAAGCTTGAGCAGCCTCTGAGCTTGGAAATCCTCAGGGAAACCCCCTCCTCAGTGGAGGGGGGATGCTGTGGGCCGCAACGTGGGGCTGATCCCAGTGGGAGGGATCGTTTGGTGGGGCTGGGAGCTGGGGGTCCCACTGTGGGCTTGTCGCTGTGGGGTCAGCATCTCCTCACGGCTGTGGGGGGGTCTCACCCCGTCCCCAGCTCGCAAGCCATGGCCTACCACAGCTTCCTCCTGGAGCCCATCAGCTGCCACGCTTGGAACAAGGACCGGACCCGTAAGTACAGCTGGGACACCCCCTCCCCAAATCCCCAGGGACGGCCTGAAGCACCGGCTGTGCCGACTGAACATCCCTGCAGTGGGTGATGCTCCCCTGGACGGGGCAGAGCTGGCTTGGGGCCGGGTTTGGGGCCGCAAGCCCTGCCACGGACAGATTTTGGGGCCGGGATAGCGCATGTCCCCTGCATCCCCTTGGCAGAGCCCAGTGCAGGAGGTGCCAGCACAGCATCCAGCCCCCCAGGCACCACGGCAGCCGGTGCGGGGAGGGACGGATGAAGGGCAGGGAGGAGAGGAGAGCAGAGCAGAGCAGGGTGATTCACGGCCGATGGCATTTCCCGGCCCCGGCGCGGGGGATGTGGGAGAGAACAAAAAGTGCTTTCTCTGCTGCAGCCGGCGTGCCAGGCAGGCGGGGCAGGATGGAGCTGGATGGGAGCTGAGCACCCGCAGCCGTCCCGGCCCGGCCCATCCCACCAGCCCCACGGGACCACACGCTGGGGAAGGGAGGATGCTGGGCTGTCGGGTCTGGGGGGGGAGGTTTTCCCTTTTTCAGTTTGCAAGAGCCGGACCAGCTTCGGGGCAGCGTGGGGCTGGGGGGCTTGGTGGGACTGCACCCTGCAGATGGGGCTCAGTGGGGTCCCACCGTGCCCCACTGAGCCTGGAGCACAGGAAGGGGCAAGTGGATGCTGGCTGGCTCCGCTCCCCCCCGGCAGAGCCCATGACCCACAGGAGGGCTTTGCCCTGGCTGCTCTCACCCCGCAGAGATCGCTCTCTGCCCCAACAACCACGAGGTCCACATCTACCGCAAGGACGGGGCCAAGTGGAGCAAAGTCCACGAGCTGAAGGAACACAACGGGCAGGTGACGGGTGAGTCCTGGCTGATGGAGAGGACGGGGACATGGCTGTGGGGTGGCCCTGCCCCACAACGGGTCCCAGCCTCATTTGGTGGCACTGGCAGCTTCTGGACAAGGGTTGGGCAGTGGGTGGAGGAGAGGGAACAGGTTGTGTGTCTGTCTCCTGGCCCTAATCTAGCAAGTCAGAAGGCACCCAGGAGTGGGATGGATGGGATGGGAGAGATGGAGAGGGGTGGGGAGGAATGGGATGGGGTCAGGTGAGAGGGATGGGTTGGGGAGGAGGGGTGAGATGGGATGGATGGATGGATGGATGGATGGATGGATGGATGGATGAATGGATGGATGGATGGATTGGATGGATGGATGGGAAGGGATGGAGAGATGGGGTGAGATGGGTTTGGATGGAGTGGGATGGGGTGGGAGGGACGGGAAGGGATGAGGTGAGATGGTGTGGATGGTTTGGGATGGGATGATTTGGGATGGATGTGGGAGTAGGGCAAAGAGGGACTCTGGAGCAGAGACCACCCAGAAAAGCTCTGCCTTCAAATGGCCTCCAGTCCTGAGTGAGCCGTCCCCACGGCTCCCTGGGCCACCATCACCCCCTTCTGCTTTCCAGGCATCGACTGGGCCCCTGAGAGCAACCGCCTGGTGACGTGCGGGACCGACCGCAACGCCTACGTCTGGACCCTGAAGGGCAACGTCTGGAAACCCACCCTGGTCATCCTACGGATCAACCGGGCTGCCCGCTGCGTCAAGTGGTCCCCCAAGGAGAACAAGTTCGCCGTGGGCAGCGGCTCCCGACTCATCTCCATCTGCTATTTCGAGCAGGAGAACGACTGGTGAGGCTCTGCTGGGTCTGTCCTGGGGGTGATGGAGGGGAGAAAGATGGAGGGGAGGTAGAGAAGAGATGGATGGATGGATGGATGGATGGATGGATGGATGGATGGATGGATGGATGGATGGATGGATGGATGGATGGATGGATGGATGGATGGATGGATGGATGGATGGGTGGATGAATGGGTGGATGGATGGGTGGGTGGATGGGTGGATGGATGGATGGGTGGGTGGATGGATGGATGGATGGATGGATGGATGGATGGATGGATGGATGGATGGATGGATGGATGGATGGGTGGATGGATGGATGGGTGGATGGATGGATGGGTGGGTGGGTGGGTGGATGGGTGGATGGGTGGGTGGGTGGGTGGGTGGGTGGGTGGGTGGGTGGATGGATGGGGAGATGGAAGGGAGATGGATTGGGAGATAGGAGACCGGACGAGTTGGAGGTGAGATAGGAGGAGATGTGGGAGACAGAGGAGCTGGAGGAGGAGGTGGGGACAGATGGG